ATTACAAAGAATAATGTTAAAAAAATTATCCTTGTAAACATGTAAAGATACATTGAGTATTAAAATATAAAAGTTTTGTATGTTACTTTGCGTGTATAATCATTTTATGTTAGCGGCAGTAAAGTCACGAAAAGCGCTACAAAACGTCTCGAGTTGCTGGTAGGTCCGCGCGGAAACGGTCCCGAGTGCAAAGGGTTAAAAATTTTTGGAATTCATTGTATATATGTGTGTGTGTGCTAAGTTCAATAATAAATAATACTATATAAATAAAATAATCCCGTTAGAGTACGATCTTTAATTAACAATATAAGAATAACGTTATATCTTAAATCTCTTAAATCAGAACTATCAAGCATTGTGTAGGAATAAAGTGAAATTTGGTATGCTAGCAAACACTCTCCTTCTCTCTCTCTATTGCTCTTACTCTCTTTGAGGAAAAAGACAAAGAACCGAAAATAATATACGAGATCGATTATTCTGGGAAAAAGAAGAAGACGATAGAAAGAGAGAGAGAGAGAGAGGAAAGAGTGTGTGCACGAGCTCCCTTGCAATTTTCTCGTCAATGCACACGTCAGACTGCACGTCGTACGTTCTTCGACGTTATTCTTTCTCTCTCTTATTCTCTTATTCTCTTATTCTCTCTTACTCCCTATCTCTATCCCACCCTTCTTTTTCTATTTCTCGACTGCACCACCGTCACAGGGACACGAGACAATGAAAAATGCACGCGACACGATATATACTGGGCTTGCACGTCCGAACTACGATTGCACTGATGTTCACTTTCTCTCTATCTCTATCTCTCTCTCTCTCTCTCTCTCTCTTTCATTTCGACATGCAGTTGCCAGAAACGGCTACGGTCTGTTCGATAATTCTTTGTGTGGTTTAACTCGAGATGCGTGCAGTCGTCGTCGTCGTCGTCGTATAGTGGTCGTTTCTCGAAATTACGCTCATCCCTCGATTTTACCTAAGAGAGTAAAAGAAAGAGAAAGAGAGAGAGACAGATACTCTTTGCGAAGAATCGCGGTTACCTTTGAATTGTATATTCATGCATGCATGCGTGCATGCATGCATTTATGAAATATACGTTTAGTTACTCCTTCTCTACGAAACGTTTTATTGGTTACACTTATTTCGATAATTATCTTATCTCAAATTCTTTTCTTTTATTATATTAATTTTAATAATAAGTAAATATAGATTTTAAACGATCGCGTATAGGTAGGTATATATTTCTCGTTATTAATCGAATAAACAATATAATATAATAGAAAATCTTATATTTTTGTATCATTCCATCTCAATGTGTGTGTGTGTGTTTGCGAGTATAAAGAAAAAAGAGTATAAAAATAACAGGAAATTGTGTTCGTTGTTTGCAAAATAATTTCTTACGTGCATAATTAATTAATTTAATTAGAGAGAGAGATATGTAGAGAGTTTCTTTTTCATATCTCACCCCATTTATATTTTTTTTTCTTCGATGTGTTATGTTTTAAACCCCTTTTGGTCGATGATTCTTACTTTCCTCCCATTTCCATCCCCCCTCTTAGTTTATCCATATTCTTCGATCTATCTATCTATCTATCTTTATCTTTATCTATATCTATAGTACTTCTTCTTGTTATTCTCTTTTTCCCCACTCCAACCCTCCTTCGAGACAAATAGGCAGGGGGTTTATTTTACTGAACCGTGGCAAGTGCACTCGAGGTAGAGATAGAGATAGAGAAAAAGGAAATGATAGATAGAGATAGAAATAGTAATGGGGGGGGGGAGGCGGAGGGGGTGTAGAGAGTTTGGTGAAAAAATTTCCGCTCCGGTTCGCCGGTTTTAAACAAAAAGCCTTTAGTTGGCCCAACAAACTCGTGGATCAACAGAACTTTTTCTTCGAGTGGGTCCGAAGCTGCTTCGCGTTGCTTGCTTGCTTCCACCACGTTTATCCTCCTTTATCCGAGGAAAACAGATAGAAATAGAGAGAAAGAGAAAGAGAAATAAGAGAAAGATAGAAAGCTAAGCAACGATAGCTATATAGTAACTACGGTGATAGCCCAATGATGGAAAAAGAAGAGTAGAAAACAAAAACAAAAATAAAAAAAAAAAAGAATGAAAAATAAGAAGAAGAAGAAGAAAGGTACGATTGGCGTTGAATTGCTGTGCACTGACTGGCTGAGCTAACCAATGATAGTAATGGTGGTGTTGGTGGTGGTGGTGGTGTATATCAAACCACTGAAAAATGCGAACAGCAGCAGCAGCAGCAGCAATGGCGTCGATGATGAAACCCTTAAAAATTAATTTGAAAAGTCGGGTGCGAGAGGACTCCTGAAAAACGCTTTTGGGTATATGAGGAGTCCCTTTTTTTCGTGTGGTCGCGACGACCACTGATGCAACTGACCTGAGAGAGAGAGAAAGAGAGAGAAAGAAAGAGAGAGAGCTTAACCGAACTAAGCGCCGGAAATATAAAGGTGGAGAAAGTATAGGAGGAGGAAAAGGAGGAGGAAGAGGAGTCGCCGGCAATCCTATTGCAGAAATCGCGAAACCGCCGCGAGAGTACGGAGGGAAACTTTCGAAATGAAGCAACTTTGCGTGTGTCTTGCGCTTTCGACGCTTGCTTGCTTGCTTGCTTGCGTCTCGCAACCCCCCTTTTCATGGAAAAGCCCAGAAAGCCTCACATATTAGCAAAGTTGTCGGCAGAGGCGCGCAGAACCTCCTCCTCCTACCCTTCTTCTTTTCCTTCCTCTAACCCCATCCCATCCCATCCCATTTCCACCCGTCCAACCCCCAACCCCTCATTCTTCTTTCTCTTTCTATCTTGACTCTTCAAATCATTCCTTTTCTACTACTTCTTCCTTCTACTTTTCACGATATCGACGGCAAAATTTGTTCTGCTTGCTTGCTTGCTTGCTTGCTTGCTTGCTTTCTTACTTGCTTGCTAGCTAGCTAGCTTGCTTGCTTTGCTTTCTTGCTTCTGGTCAAACTGAGAGATAAAATCTCGCGATTCTTAGCTTAAAAGAAAGGAATAAGGATGGTTATTAGTATTAGACTATCCTTATTCGTTTCATAGGGCCTTTTCTCTCAAATTTTCTTCCTCCTTCTTCTTCTTCTTCTTCTTCTTATCTTCGTTACTTTTCATTGTATCAGGGAGGAGTAATACTTGGGGGTATAAGGGAACAGACTTTTATTTAACTTTATATATTCTTAGGTTTATTTTCATTCGTTATGAAGCTTTTATATAAGTGTGGATAAATATATATATATACTTTTCTTTCCTTTCGAGTAGGTTTCAATTTGGTATTTATATTTCCGTTTATTATTATTTCCCGCCCCCTCCCTCCACCATTATATTTTTGTGTAAGTTGAGATAAAAAATTTTCGTGGCTGTTTGCTTGAGAATAATATAAGAGAAGAAAAAAAAGTGGGGTTCGGGGTGGTCGTTATAATGAGGGATCTTAAGAATTAAATAAAGCCTTTATCCTCCGAATCCGCTACTTGTGAAACAAGGAAATATTTGTATTATATTATTTTGAACGAGAAATAATTAAAAATGATCACCGTGTGTTTATAATATCAATTTACATGCGACAAAAATGATACCCACACAATAATAAGATTTTAATATATATATATATCGAAAAATGATCGATAAACTCATGACTAATTTTTGATGATTTTTTTTTTTCTTTGTTTCAGGCCAAGTTGTTGGAATCCTCCCACGCTTGGCTCGGCAGCGGTGCCTCCACCTCCAGTTTAGCAGGTGAGTTTCTTACCGAATGTCTCACAGAGTCAACTACGTCTAATTAATTCATCTACATCCCCAATTTCCAACCCCCCCAACATCCCGCAAACATATTAATGATAATAATATAATTCCAGGATAACATTTTGTTGCTCGCCAAATTAATTTCATTTCATTTCCTTTCTCTTTCTGTTTTATTTATTTATTTGTTTTTGTTTCGTTTCGTTTCGTTTTTTTTCTTTTCTTATCGTTTGGTTGAAAAAAAAAAAATGGTGAAAATTATTATTATTACTATTTACACGAAAAGGAACACACACACATAATTATTATTATCATTACTTTCTTTCATTTGTGTTATTTTATTTTCTTTTTTTTTTTCTTTTTTATTACAATTTCATTTTTATTCTTACTATCAATATAACAATGAAACTTCGTGTAAATAATAATAATTATAATAATAATAATAATTCAATTGTAAAAAAAATAGTGTAAAAATTATTCTTATGCACATTAATTAAAAATAAAATAGAATAAGTGAGAGAGAGAGAGGGGAAAAGGAAAAGAAAAGGTAGCAATAAAAATGATGATGAAAAAAAAAGAAAGAAAGAAAGAAGCATTGAAGAATGGAAAAGGTGCTCTTTGGATTTATTTTTTGGGTTATTTAAAAAGAAAAAAATGAAGAAAATATAAGGTTAGCAATGGCTAGTGGTGGGTGGAAAGGGAGAAAAATAAGGAAATAGTAAGTGTCGTTAACTTCGGCAAAAATAATAAAGCGAGTGGAATGCGTTTTGCTTTTAATATAGAAAGCAATTTAGATAGACGACGACGATGACGACGACGGCGACGACGACGACGACGAAACGACGCTGGGCATCGGTTTTAATAGCAAACGATAACGCGTTTTCGCAATTCGTGACGCTCGCAAACGTAACCGTGAATTTTGCGCGTACACGCGGTGTTACCCTGAGTTGACTGGCTAGCTAGTTTTCCTTTTCAAGTTTCACGGTAAATCGAGTACAACTACTACAACTACTACTACTACTACTACTACTACTACGCGAAAAACTTCAAACTACTCTCCGTTACGCGACTCAAATCGATTCGAAAAGAAGCCCTCCCTGACCAACGACGGAGGAATATTATTTTCTTAGGAAAAAATTTACATTTCGTCTTCGTAGTCTCTCTCTATCTCTATCTCTTTCTCTGTTTAAAGAGAGAGAGAGAGAAATTTTTATTGGCTGGCCCATATTTTCTTTGATTTTATTTCAACTACCTTTTTTTTATTCAACACTTCAATCGTGATTTGATCAAAGGTACGCGTTTTCTTCGCTACCATCTATCTCCGACAATATTCTTTTTTTTCTTCTTCTTCTTCTTCTTCATTCAATTTTTTACTCAAATATTTATTTTTCGTTAAGATTTATATCTACTTTTCGCGAGAGTGCGAGAGAGAGAGAGAGAGGGAGAGGGAAGTCATTTAATTAAAATATTCTTTAAAGAATAAACTATAATATATATTCACATTTATCTCTCATCTCGTAACATTCGTCAGGAAAACGTTGAAAAACGTTCGTCATTGCGGTCATTGAAATCACCAGAGATGTTTGTGTCCTGTGTTTTTATTCATTATTAATAAACCCCCTTATTTTCATTATTTTTCGTAATAGAAATCTATTCCTCCAATTGAATTTATTCTTAACTTCCTCTTTCTCTGTTGGATTTTTCGAGAAAAAGAGCGAAGACATTAATATTATTATTATTATTATCATCTTACTAATTATCCTTTTAAAAGAAAAAAAAAAAGGAAACACAACGGATTACGATAAGAAAGTGGTATTAATTAATTTCTATTATTCTTTTAGCCAACGAAAAAACTAATCGTCACCGATGATCATTGTTATCGTTCTTAATCTTCTTCTTCTTCTTCTTCCTCTGATTTTTTTTTGTTTTCTCGAAAAGGGGAAAAAAGAACAGATATGTCAATGGTGATAGGAAAAATATAAAGAAAGGGAGAAGGCTAGAAAATAGATAAAGATAATAAAAACAAAAACAAAAACCAAAAAAAAAAAGAAAAAGTTAGTCGGAAAATGGCATGACTATTTTTTAGCTGAATATACGAGCCTGCTGAAGCTGAAGGCACCAACTTGGACTCGGCATGATCTTCAAGAAGCTATCGAGGCTGTGGTTACCCAAAAGATGAGGTTCACACAGGCATCAACTAAATATGGTATACCTAAGGGCACCCTCTACGACAACATACTTGGAAAATCGAAGAGGATGATGGTACTCGAGGAAGCTGGTTTAAATTCGAACGAGGAAACGGCCGTCCTTGAATTTTGTTGCGATATCAGCATTAGTCCTTACAATAGGCGTACAAAAAAATCCCTTAACGTGATATTAAATTTTGTCGAAAAATTAAGAAGAAAACGCGACCCAACTTTTACGTTTAACGGTCTCATTGGTTATCGTTGGTGGTGGGCATTTTGTAAAAAACATTCCATTGTTTCCTTGTATTTCAACGATGAAAACGAAAACGAATGACCGAAAATCTTTTTTACGATTCGATTATTATTATTATTATTATCGTCATCGTCAAAGAGAGCGACGACGACGAATACAACGACGAACACGACGGCGATCACGACGACGACTATAGCAATAATATTTAACAACTAAAATAAGACAAAAAGAAATGAGAAAGAGAGAGAGAGAGAAAGAGAGAGAGACGATGATAGAGAATGCGAATCATTTTTCTTACATTTTTCTTACATTTTTTTGTTTGTAATTCTACATAACTTTTTTTTTTAATTGTAATTGTAATTTACGTGTAACGAAAGAGACTGATTTTTTTTTTAAACTGTGACCTTAGTTTTTTCAGATCAAATTTTTTGTATTGTTTGAAGAAAAAAAAACAAAACGAACTTCTCACGCGTTTTTTATATTAACACAGTTTAATAATTTAATAATATTTAATATGATATTATATTAAAAAAAAAAAAAAAACAAGATTTACTTTGGAATCTTATTAATTTGTATGCATTTTTTTTTGTTTTTTTACATATTCCTGACATTTTGTATTATATTAATTTACATTTCTATTTTGTAAGTGGAAATGTTGATTAATCAATTCGCATTCTCAAAACAAAACAAAAAGAAAAGAAAAAAGAAATAACGCGATTTATTTAAGGATAACTATATATAATATACGTGCCTTCAGCGTTATTCTCGTCTTCCAATGGATATTTATAATATTATATTAGTTAATTAATAATATACCATACATACCGAAAAATCAAATGAGAAAAGACGTATTAATTGCATTCCATTTAGAATTTGTTTTTAAGAACGCGATTTAACAATTGTATATAATTTGACAATTTATGCATGAAATATTTCTCATGTCACACACACACACACTGATGATATTAAAAAAAAAGTTTTATATTTTTTTGAGATATGAATATTTCTTATCGATTTTTTTTTTTTTTTTTTTTTTTTTTTTTTTTTTTTTTAGATAACAAAAATTAAAACATTTTCCATGTAGCG